AATAGGAGTGAAGAAGTTAAAGAATTGAGAACAAGGAGGGAGAGCGGGGCACGTAAACGAGAATGAACAGCTTGCAGAACTGGGGGAACCTATATAGATGACAACAATGAGCGCGTTTGGAGGCGTGGTCCCACTCCTGAAATTCCAATACATAATCTCCAATTCAATTATAGCACTTGCCTTTCGGGTGTACCTATGCTCTTGTTTGCACTGTGAAGCTCTATGTGGAGAGTTTTGCAGAGTCTTAGTATTAATTCATCCTGCTGCTTCATCAGTAAAATCAGTGACCTGGGTCCACTGGCATAACGCTCCCTCCACCATGTTTGACAGATGATGTGGTGTACTTCAGATCATGTTTTTCTCCTTTTCCAAACTTTTCAAGTTAATCTTGGTTTCATCAATATAATAAAATAAAAATATATTTTTTTCAGATCCATTATGACTCTTTTAGATTTTTTCCACCAGAGTCTAATCTGATTGTCCTGTTCTTGAGTGTAACCAGCGGTTTGCACCTTCTGGTAAACCTTGTGCATTTCCATACTAACCAGGCTAGCTAGCTGATAACTCCACCCCCTCCAAATAAAGCCACTTCTGCATTGTGGCTAAAAGGTTACATTTGTGGTGGCTATGTCCATCTTGGAAACAACTCAGAGAGCCGCAATTCAGATATGTTAGAGACATGTGTTGGTGTACATAAAATATAGGGAAGGATCAGCTGGAGCTGCATGGTTTGCATGTTCCAAAGGGCAAAATTACAAGACTATCTGTTCTCAGCAGTGCAGCCGGCTGAGTCTGCATATGTGTATGTTGTGTAAGTGGACAAATCTCATGCGGCGTTTCCTTTGACATGAGCGATGCAGGGAGAGATAACAGCAGAGTTTAACTTTCAGGTTGAGACAAGCCCGGCATGCAGACGGATGGCCTGCGTGCAGAAAAGTGAGCTCAATTCATTGACAGCTTTAGTGTTAGTTTACACTGCTGCAGTTTCTTCCTCTTTGTAGGTTGACAGCGTGTCTGCACAGGAGGGGCAGTGTGGGCAGCAGTGGCTTCACTTCACAGGTGCAAAGCTAAACTACTGTAGTTAAACACAAAAAATAGAGGTGGGCTTTGTTTTTGTAGACTCTCAGACATGCAGCTGCAGGAAAAGTGCATTTCTGTCCCAGAAGGTTCATTCTACAATAATGTGTCCCCTTAGGCCTAACTTTTGGAAACCATGTAAAGGTCCCCAAGCTGTAAAATGTACATATTTGCACTGTTAATTAACCAGATCAACGGTGGCCCTTCCAGGTTATCCATGTAAGAATCATATCACTAAACCCTATCTCATGCACTCACCAAACCCTGCAGCACAAATATCAAAGACTGTCTTTTCTTACAGGATTTCTTTGTGTTGCATCAGAGTTTGTACAGTTTGTCCAACCCTGTTTTCGCCCCTTTGCTTTGGCTTATATTTTAAGTTATTTATGACACCTATAGTGCTGTTCGACTGGAAAGCGTGAGGGCAAGAAATAAAAACAATATGCAGATAAACACCAAATCTGTTTCCAATCAGAGCAAGTGGAAACCCCCTCAGCAGAGTATGACGTGCCACGTCCCGGGATGAGATCATCTGGGCCATCAGCTGCTCGGCCTCGAGGACGTTCTCTAGAAAAACAGCCAGAGAAAACAGTCCGTGTCGTCCTATTGATCCTGCAGATAATAACACTTCTAATATAAACACATTTGCTCTTTCACATGCTCAGCCTCCAGCATATTTCCCCAGCTGTTACAATACCCACAGTTCACTTTGTGCTAATGGGCCAATAAATCCGCTGCAGCCTTGTTTGTTTTCCCCTGCATGATGAAGGCTGGGGTTACATTATTCTGTCTGACAAACCGAATAATGCTGGAATGCTTTTTAATCAAAGTAAAGCATCACATCAGTTAAACCTCTGGGATATCGATTTGGAGGGTGGAATGGTTTTACATGTGGGGGCCACTGATGCTTTTTCCCTCCTCATCTTTTCTGGCTGTTTTTTCACTCGTTTTGCATTCAGTGAGCATCAGTGTCGCTGCTGGTAGCACGAGGCGATACCTGGACTCTACAGAGGTTTCACAGGTAGTCCAGCTCCTCCAGGAAGGTACAGCAATACATGCCACTGCCACAGATTTGCTGTGTCTCCCTGAGTCTCTAACACTTTGATTTTATCTGTAGATTTGATCCTCAGAACCATTCAAATGAAGGTCTCCAAAGATAAAATCATAAAGATGATAATATTTGAGCTACTTTTTAATAGATGTGTGGTAAAGAGAGGACCCAAAAACAGGGCTGGCTGATACATAGGCCATAAACAAAGTCCAAGAAGGTGAAGTGAAGCACAACTATGTGTATATTAAGAAGTCCAATTAAAG